TACTAAAATATTTTTGACAGAATAAAAAGGGCTTCGTTCAGCAAAAGTATGCTTTCAATTACAGACAAAAATTCTTGCAGTGGGTGAGCCGCTGCCTTTGGGCAGTTTCCGGGATGGTTGGATGCTGATTTTTGGCCAGAGGAAAAGCGTGTGATACGGCACCCGGCACGGTCCGAGGACCCCGCCTAATCCCAGCTGTTCACAAGAGCTCTGCTGACGTGTCAAATATTCACAGCCGTCATCGCAGACCTGCGGATTTGCACACGAATACTTACTTGTGAAGCTACAAAAACATTCCTAGGCGACAGCACCGGGAATGCTGTGCTTAGTTATGAGTCCTCTTATGAGTCCTTGGGTGGCAGATAGCCAAAAACTTTGCGTGTGCGCGTATAGGCGTGGAGGAATCCGGGCATCTATATTTGACAAAACACGCTCATAAATTTTGTGCTGGCCTGGCTCCCACAAGTTTCCGAGCACAGAGATGGATAAGTATCTGCAGCCATGGTGGTGGCCGTGGGACCACAGCGCAGCAGCGGGAAGCGCAAAGTTTTAACAAAGTATTAAAAAAGCTCGTAAAATGTCATAAGCTTTGTACCGTAGGATAAGGTCCAGGACTACTACAGAATAAAAACAGACAGCAAGCCCAGCACAAAAGAACGAGTAATGCAGCATGTTCCATCCTGACTACAGTTTTATCCCTTTCTCTTTTGTTCCCTTGCATTTAATACACGAACTCGACACTTGGCTGTGTGATTTCTTTCCCAGGGAGTTCATAGCTCTCGAAACATGTTCATGGTTAGTATTATATAGATGCCCACCACAATGTACGTGAAAGGAGTCTCGCATTGAACCAAAAGAACATTCGGAACTGAACACATACATATCTAATTTCTACAGCAATTATTAACATAATAATTAAAAATGAAAACTATTCTACGTTTCACTGGCGTATTAAGTGAATCTGTTAATCTAGTTGTACGTATGTCCCCACTGCATTAGCCACGATGGAAAGAATAACTTCAATCTGTGGCTGGTCTCAGTGTGAGGCTGCCGGAAAGGAGGTCATTGAGGTCGGATTGTTGAGCCTGCCCCATGCTGACATCCAAAACACACATAAATGAATTGATTCCATTTGTCGATGGCCGAAAAACTGAACATAAATATTAAATTTCGTTTAATTAGATTTATTTGGTCACTGAACAGATTTGGGCGACAGCCGGGCATATCAGTGACATATCAAGTTTTATTGGCTGAAATGGGATGAAGGCAGCCGCCAAACCGACCAAACCGACCAGACGACCAGCCCGACTATGTCAACAGAAGCGAATTGCCATTTATTGTTCGCAGCAAAATGGGTCAATAAAATATGGAAGCAACGCAGCATCCTGAGCACGGTTGCTCTGACGGCGACAGTGACGGGCCAGGCCAGGCCACGAATCGACGGACCCGGGAGGAGCACGACAGGAGCAGCCCCAGAAGAAATCAGTTGAATTTGCTTAGAAGGCAACGACGACATCAAAGTGGCCAGGGCCATGAGAAAGGGGACACAAAGGCAGCGATGCCAGAACGGCAGTGGCAAGGGGGGTAGGTGCGGCACAAAGGGCAAAGTACATGGGGATAAATCAAAACAAATCAATTTCTTCTACGCCATTGACTCGAGAACACCCGATGACAGTTGCTTGCTCGTATTTTGCCCCGTTGCTCTGGTCGGTTGATTGCTGAACATACAATTGAACATCGGTTCCCAGAGCGTTGCCCCGTCCCAAGGAGCCTGCTCGTAGACCAGGAGCAAATCGCAGTGACAGTCAAATTGGGGCTAAGTGGGCCCACTGACGCGGAGACCAAAAGATTTGGTATTAACAAATCGATGAAGATATGCATACACGGGCGGGAAACGCACCGCTCCTATCGTCTTAAATATTGCGCACTCTCGGGACGCTACCCAGACACTGGTTCGGAACTATTCGTAGATAGAATTGACTTTCGCGGCGCTCGGTGTGGGTTGCATCCCAATCTGGTCCTGCGTTGACTGTCCGCGTGTAATGGCACTTAAGTCGAGGCTTCCTGTCGATGGATGCGTCGATGGAGGTGGGTCTGGTATCATGGAGGACGGAGCTTAGCTGGCTCCGGGTTCGACTGAACTCTGCACTTACTGCTCATAAAATATTTATCGTTCGCTTGCCGCTACGCTCGAAAAGTACGCTGCTCGGCTGGATGTATCTATCAAGGATCTGCAGTATGGGCAGCTTGCACTCTGGCGCTGAATTTGTCCGAAAAATCAGCATGATTCCGTTAATTTTTAATAGTGCTTAAAGGCACGCTCAAAGGCCAAGGCATTTATTCGAATTTCACAAGAAATAAATACATTTTTAAAGTAACGCTAACATGATTTGCTTCAATTTCCGCTCCTACTACATAGAGCTGAGCTACAAGTAATTCGACTGATACTCACCTACCCCCCACAGCCCGAAATCATTGCTATAACATCATCAGACTGATTCAGTGTTCAATGATTCAATGTTCAGTGCTCGGCTGTCATCTCTGTGCCTCCCGACTGGCTGAACGAGGAGACACTTTTTTGTACCTCCGTAGACATGCATTATTCATATGGTCGTGTATGTTAAGCGAGAGATACAGATGGAAGCAGAGGCAACTTCAGAGTGTAATGCCATCGCTTACACAAATTTCATGCCCTGACAGTTCGAAACGTAAATGAGGAGTCCATCCCCATCCCCAAGCCCATCCACATCCACATCATCGTTGACACCGCTACCCGCAAAGAGTGCGGTTCGAGGAAACGACCCCATTCCCGCAGCTCGGCGAGGGACTCCTTCTGCGGCGCTTTCAATTTCAAATCAAATAAAAAGTTTTGAACAACCGCCCAAAAGCTTCACGTGCTTGTATGTACTTCCGAACAACAGGCAGACGCACCCACATCCACATGGGATGGGGCGGGATGTGGACGGGAGCAGCAAGGTCAAAGGGACTTTTCCTTTTCGTTATTTTTATTTTTATTGTTTTTCGTTTCTGTTTAAACCTCCGGCGGCAAACACTCTCGCCTTAAAGTGTGCACCTCTCATACGGCAGCTGCGGAACGTGATCTTTGGGGTTGGGAGACAAAGACCAAGACCAAGAACACACAGATTTTATGGCCAAGTGAAGCCAAAAGTTTATGGCGCCTCGTACCAGAGTGATTCGATTACTTTGCTGAAACGGCTTCAATAAAAACTTCGAGGATTTTTACAATACTTGCGACCACCAAGACCTCTAAAAAACTATTTCAAGGACGAGAAAGTTAATTCAAGCCCTTCGGTGCTCGACCAGGCCTGGTTCATGGGCCTAGTTCTAGTTTCCAATGAGGCCTTTTTCCTCTTCTCCGATTAGTTGTGGACATCATCAAGGTACATCTGCCTACAACACCATTCCCTCCTCCGTTTGGTGTCCCTGACTGTCCCTTGAAATTTACTGTCACGGGGCGGTATCCCGTGCTATATACCCGAAGAAATAATTACGAACGGCCCCAAAGTCCCCAGTCCATCCCGCCTTTAGCGGGGGATATCGGAATTTGAATATAATTTATGGCCCACCATATAAATCACACAGACTCCCACAACCCTTACCCGGGCCACAGTCGTTGCCGTCACGCCTCCGCTCGGGGCAGGCTGGCCAGTCGTCAGAAGCAAACCAAATCGTCCGCGCACTCACCGAACTCATTAGGGATAAAACGTTGGCCACGAAGCGAGCGGCTAAATTATATTGCCATGTCCGCCCGGCAGCCATTGTAACTCGGCCCCCAGCTGATGGATGTGTGTGTTCACCCCACACGGGCATTTCCGCCATTTCGGCGGTACTCGTATGTTGTAACGTAACGCAGCAGCAGACGAACTGGACCAGGTTACAGCAGCCTTGCCGCAACCCATTAAATTAGGTGGACATCGATGCTTTAAAAAGGCAATCCGACTGCAGGGCATTAGCGGCTGACACTGACACTGACACAAGAGCAGAGCAGATGAGCGATAATTAAGTCTGCATATGCCCATACATTTCGCATTAATATGAGTAGAAGATTATCGCGCGTGGGTCTGGTACGAGGGGCGGAAAATGTTAAATCGAAAGCAATACCCGACACCTTACTCGGCGTGAAAACGCTTTTGAAGTTATGTTTTAATTCCGGTTGCGGATCCCAGGAAGCAAGGGCTCTCAAACGCTTGTTTCTCGCCTCGTACAATTGTGTTTCCCAGAGTACCGTCTGTGCTTTACATCCCCACCAATGCTGTAGAAGGAAGCGGCTTTCGACAGTCCTATAATTAAAACCATGGCTTTCTATTCCTACGGATAAGGCTAAGAAAACATCAGACATTGCGCATATTTAAAGATTAAATTAAAATTAAAGATTTTCCCTCACATTTCTGCTAGCAGACTAGCTTAGGACTTAACTGGTTGATAGCTTTAAGTCGAGGGAACCGTCCACAGCCCCTACTTACTTTTAATTGCGAAAATGTGTTTCGCTCTTTCCTGCAATGGCATTGGACCTCAGTCGGTTCATACTCCTCGTTCACCAAGGCAGACCGGAAGAAGGCGGGTGGAAGGTGGGCCTCTGAATAAAGCTATCTTAATTTACCCCTGCTCCAATATAAGCCACACCTCCCACACCTACGAGTACTGTACTTCGCGTTGTTTGCTCAGGTGGAGAGAGCTTTGGCGACTGCGGGTTTATTACGGGCCAGGACGCTTGCTTTCATTGTAATTGGTGAAAAGTTCTGGCATGCAAGGACGGGTCCTTTTCAATTTGGTCTTTTGTTTTTCATATCATCAGACTCACAACGAAGGACAAGGGAACCGGGAACCCTGCAAAAGGCCGTCCATGTTCTCCCAAATGGAGCTGACTTGCACTTATTCGGTTATTTATTTTTCTTTCATATCCCCATCAGATGATGTCGACATCGGAGCCGTTAAAATTAGGCTATAACGATATTTTATGTAAATCACTTTTTTTACAGCGCTACTCTCCGCCACGCTGCGCACATATCAGAAAGCGGCCTGCGACTCGGACCAGGTGGTCATTGCCTGCCCACGCGGCACCAGCATTTCAATTGAGTTTGCCCAGTACAACAAGTTCGTGGCGAAAGGTAAGTAAACATACTGATACCCTGGACACAGGTGCCACCTTTGCGTTTTATTCATTGTAATGCACATTTCTGTGTGGCCCTTCAATTTTTCCCAGATGGCTATAGCATTGAGGAGCTGTGTCCAATTTCTGGAGCCGCTGCCTCCGAGATTCGTGGCAAGGCAAAACACCTGCTACGGGGATCCATCTTTGGCTCATCCTCACAGAAAGTTCCTGCCAATCGCTACGTAAATGGTGGCTACGGCGGCTATGGCTACGGAATGGCAGTGCCATCGGCAGTGGATGCTCTCACCAGTACTGGGGCAAGTGCAAGTGGTTCTGAGCTGGAATCTAGGAGCACTGTCCACTCTGGAAGTCCTGGCAAGTCCCTCACTGGTGGCGAGGTGCTAAGCCCCGCTGATACTGGCGATGATTCGCCAGAAAATTGCATGTGGCCGAATGCTCTACAGGTACGCTACTTAATTATGTGATAGCCAATTTGATTTATTCCTGGTCTGTGATGTAATTTAAAGGTTTCTTCTTACTCAGTTACTTTCCCCGTTTATCACATTCGGGAATCTTTGAAAAATGACCCCGAATCTTAAAGGGTGGATAATCAGGTCGCCTCAGATACGCTACATCTTTTGTGTGCTGCACGTGTCAATGCGCCAGTCTAGCAGGCCTTTTAGGCAATTTTCTACATTCCGAATTTCACTTCCAATTCATTAAACATTTCGGGTTCCTTTTCGCCCATTCGATTGGGTTCTCTGCTGATTCGCTGACTAGTCAGCAGACAATACGAATTTAAGTTCGGGGAAAATTCCACAACAGGAAAAACAATGGAGGATAGCTTGAAACTCTTTAGGTTTAATTTTAGTTAGCTACGCAGGATGGCAAAGGGGTTGGGTTGGGCAGGAGAGTGTGGTGCTGTGAAACCCTTACGATTTGACGAAGGCCAAATGTTGCCTTTCTGTCGAGCCAAGCCAAGTCAGGGCCACCCACGTCATCTCCCGCTGTGCCTGCAGGAATTCCATCATGTCGCTTGGGCTGTCATTAGACGGACAGCCTACAGAAACAAAATCTTTCGAGTCCCGAGCCCGGATTCAACATACGTCACTTAATATGACTACCACAGCAAATCATTTGTCGCATCTTTTTGTTACATGGCGCCCATTGTTGGGAGCTTATTTTACGAATCCTGCTGTGGCGTTGTTTTTCCTCGATTGTATACTGTATCTCCCTTGCTTTTTATCGACTTTCATTGCCTGCTGTCGATATTCGTATGTACGTATTTGTTGGCTATTCTGGAGCTCTGACAATACTTTTCTTACAAGGTAGTGTCAATGGGCCTCCCACAATACATTTAAATAATTCTAAGGAAAACGAGAAGGAACGTGTGAGTCGCTTCTGGGACGCGACTCTCCTTATACCCGTACTCAGTCAGTATATACATTTTTGAGCTTATGATTTTTTAGAATTTTTAAATTAAAAAAAAAATTGTACATTTTAAATTTGTTTGCTACATCTGGTATCTACATATACATCTGCCATTTAAATTATACATCTAACATGTAGATTATACATGTACCATTTAGATTCTACAACTCCTCCGCTAGCTGTTGCTCGCGCACTGACCGCGGCAGAGTGTGCGAGCGAGAAAGAGATTTGTAGTGGGTCTCTGGCAGGAGGGGGCGGAAGAACCAACAGAAAATTAATTTCTTCATTTTGGCTATAATTATGATCCGATCTAATTCAGATTCGGCAGTCTGGTAGATATGAGTATTCTCTACGATAATGCTTTTTTAGTTTTATCGTATCTTTAACTATGTGCCTGCCACAAATTTTCGTTCTTTGTGGGGGCGGAAGGGGGCGGACGAAATTTTGAAATACACTTGTAGCAGTGTGATATCACATGAGTCTGGAAACCAAATTTGGTTGCTCTAGCTTTTATAGTCTCTGAGATCCAGGCGTCAAACAAGACGGACGGACGGACAGACTGACAGACAGACATGGCTCTATCGACTCGGCTATTGATGCTGATCAAGAATATATATACTTTATGGGGTCGGAAACGTTTCCTTCTCTGCGTTACACACATCCACTTTTACCACAAATCTAATATACCTTTTAACTCTTTTTGAGTACGGGTATAAAAAGGCGCGAGCTTAACGAAATAAACAAAGACATAGAAGTAGAATGACAATGCCATTATTTACATCGATCAGCTACATCCGTTTCGTTTCTTCGTCTCGTATTCGAGTACGAGCCAAATGTTGAATATTCCGCTCATCAGACAGAAGTGAACATGTATGCTCGTTCTATTCGTAATTACGCGTAGCAAAAACGTAGCATCTGACGTCAGTAGTGGGATTGAAAAATGGTTAAATTCAAAGGTTTACAAATTGAACAGTTAAAGACAAATGACGAAAAAGATTGTGTGAAAAAGAGAGAAAGCGAGCTCGTAGCATTAGGTCAGAACCTGGAAATGGCTTGGTTTATTCGGGCTATAATAATAATCCGATCTGACTCAAATTCAGATTTCCCGTAGATATTTTATCATCGATTTGGCTTTATGAGGTCGGAAACGTCCCCTTCTGGCCCCCTTCTTATTAAGCTTCACGAATCTAATCTACCCCTATGTTGGTACTCTTTGAGTACTGGGTAAGTGGGGTCAAGTGGCTTTAGCTAGACTAACGCTCGTTTGTGACACGTTTTATTTCATTGTAAGTTTCCGTTAAGGGCGAGCGGAAGAGGAAGAAAAAAAAAAATAAAATAAAAAAGGTAACACTTCCATTACGTTTCTGGGGCAAATATTTTATTTCAATTTGCAAAGTTTGCAATTCAGCGCAGAGTTCTGCAGCCCTCGTTGACTTTTCGGCGTTTTCTGTTTGCACCTTAATGTGGAGCAGACAGAGCCTGGGCTGGGTGGGCTAGGTAAGGTAAGGTAAGGTAGGGAGTGGAATGCAACTAATGCACGGATTGGTCTTGCTCCTTACTTTCAGTACTCCCTGCTCCAGACGGTGGTCGAGGCATGCCAGAAGAAGAAGCACTGCAAGTTCCACGGGTCCCCGCAATTCTACGGACTGGGAGCCAGCGGAGTAGGCGACTCGTCCGGCACCAGCAGCTATCACAGCAGCACGGCTAGCTCCAATGCAATCAGCAACGACCCCTGCCCCAAGCGTCGGAAAATCGTCGAAGTTGCCTACAAATGCCGCCCATGTAAGTCAGCCAACAAACCCATGAAACCGTCCCAAGTTTTGTTCAATTCGCCCGAATTTATTTGGCGCACAAGGGATATGAGGGGACAGGAGGGGACACGACACGTAAATGGGCAGAAAATGCGAACACGATATACCGATACACCGATACACCAATACCCATGTACCCGGGAGTTTCTGGGCTACCTATTGATTCCGGGGGTGGAATACCCTCGACAGCCGGAATCGACACATAAACGTCCAACCGAAAAAGTTAAATAAAAGTTCGCTGGGGTCAGGCTACGGGCTGCGCCCTGAGCAAAGCTTCCCCTACTCGCCAGCTGACAGCCAGGGTCGGAGGTAAGAATGGGGAGCCGGGTGCGGTCCCGTTGGCGAAATTCGTGAGGAGCACAGCATGCAAGTTGCCTGGCGCTGGCACATTTACTTTTATGTACGGGTACTCGTACATGTACGAGTATAACAAGTTTAGCGCTCTGTCGTGCGTTCCAAAAATCCAGTGAGGTGGAAGGCCGTCCTGGGTCGGTAGGGTATCGCGGGCTTTGTTAGCGTGGAGCGGCAGAGGAGGCGTCTATGGCGACAGACGGGCCTGGGGCCGGCTGCAAACGGGATAGTCAGTAGGAAGACTTCGCTCCCAGGACCGGGACTTGGCAGTCCATTCGCCATTGGACGTGCCTCGTGGAACACGGAAGAACTTCGATGACACAAAATTAACTTCCATCGGTGAGCAGCGCCCAGAGGAAGCAGGGCAGGGGCGCTCGCAATTGCAGTGAATGTTGCGCTCTTATTGTACGAGCATTTGAATTTCAGACCTATTATCGGATGGCTGGATGGAGCGGCAGGCACATTTAAGCCAGCTGCAGCGCGAGCTCCGTGTCTTTCAATTACAAAATCGTCGAAATCGTTGATTGCTCTGCAGTGACTGGCATTGTCGTAACGTCCCTGCCCACTCCCCCCGTCGCGATTAAATGGCTTAACGTCAAGCAAATAAAGAGAAGTTCGCTGTGAATCAAAGTTGGTTCCTCCAGTTAATGAGTTGGCAAAGAAATTGAACATTTCTTGTGTCCATGATGTCTTTATAAGTATTGTCACTTCTGTACCGATTTCAGATGAGTTCCGCAGCAAGGTTGCCTGTCACAACGATGTGGCCCAGCTGGAGTGCAACCCGTACTCTCGGATAGCAGTGTACAGCGCCAGTTTCGGTAGGACCGAGTACGAGAGCATCCAGTGCCCCCAGCCGCAGGGGGTTCGGGAGGAAAGTAAGTTCGAGTTTGGGAGGTCATCTGAGGCCCTGACTCTCATCAGTCATGGCTCCGACAGCACACTGACACTGATTCTTGACTCTTTCCGCGTGTAGCGTGCCTCGCCTCATACGCGACAGAGACCGTCATGCAAATTTGCCACGGACGACGGCGTTGCAACCTGGCAGCTGACGCGAACACCTTCGGCACTCCGTGTCAGGCCAACTCGCGGATGTATCTGAAGGTTGTTTACACATGTGGTAAGTAGGACACTAGAACAATATGGGCGGGGCTGATCTGGGAGCTTGGTGCGTCCCTTCGCATCGCATCGCATCGGGGCACAAGATTGATGCCTGGAGCTTCCCGTTCGATGCCCGACTTGGCCGCTTGATTTATGTACATCACTTATGCCGCTGCCTCCCCCACCGTGCTTTTGTCTAGTGCCGAAGCAAGTGCTCAAGGAGAGCAACGACTCTGAAGTCGAGCCGGACGAGTCCGACGACTTTGAGGGCGACATCAACGACCTCTACGACGACGAGCTGATCTATAAGGAGTCGGAGGCGATACCAAAGCTATACGGCAACACAACAGCACTCGGAAGGCGCAACAGCACCAACGGGCCTGGACCAGGAGCCACTGCTAGTCCGGCTGGCAATCAGACCATGACGAACGGCACCCTGGTCACAGATGTGGATGGCAGTGGCGTGAATCCTGTAATGACACATAGTGCCGACTTGAGTCTAGAGGGTAAGCCATCTCATCTCCTCTTTAACAACAAGACACATCACTGCTTACCAGTCAGACCTTATTTTTGTAAAAGAAAATCGTAGATGCGAGTAAACACAGCCTCCGCCTTGCCACTGGCTATTGAACTGCAGCTGTCCTTCGGACAGACCTCCAAGCAGCACGAACTAAATCCCACAAAAGCTTTTCCCCACCCCGTGTTTTTTTCTCATACTGTCAGTAAGGGCGTCGCAGACGTTCGTAATGTCGAAGTCTGATTTGCAAATGATATCCAACGGCGGAGTATGAAGATCCCTCGAGGGCTCCATACCATACCATTGTACTTCTACCGTATTCTTTTTTTTGTGGGAATAGCTTTAAGTAGAAGCTGTGAGCCCAAGTCCCAAGTGCCCTCAATGCTGGTCGGAGGTCTGCTCGTAGTACGCTGAGCATTCGCGGCATTTGTATGATCTTTAAAATTGAGTTTTCTATTCTCCCGCAGATGACCAGGAGCGGCTGTACTTTTACCTGCTTATCGTCGGGTCCCTTGGGGTGCTCTTCTGCATCGTTATCGTTGCCACTAGACTCGTGTTGCAGAAGCGTCGGGATCTGGGTCTGGCAACCAATACGCACTCCAACTCTTCCAGCAAAGGCGGCGGGGGCGGAGGAGGCCTAGTCGAAGAGACGACCATCCCGAGCGGCTTTAACGACACCATTTCCGAAATAGATGCAGACATCGACCTAACCACTCCAATACCTGTACCAAGTGTGTCCAAGAACGAGGTGAGTGACCCAGAATGAATGTGGTGGTGGCTCTTTCCTCATTCCTCACGCCGATGCTCCTGCAGAACTATTTGACCTACGCGCCAGCCAGCAACTTGTATGCTAGTCTAGCTCCCGGCTCTGGGCCTGCAACTGGGCTGATGACGAATCCCCTTCTGGTGGGAGCGCGGCAGTCGCCCGACCTTATCGGCATATCCCCAGGCACCTTCGTGGCGACGAGCAGCGCCAGCCCCGGGCCAGGCACAGTGGCGGGAATTCTGACGCCAGCCATTGTGATTGGAGCCAATGGACACGGAGCTGGCATTCCGGGCAGCAGCGCCATAAGTAAGTAACCGCCCGACCCGCCCCGCTGCCCCTATCCTATCCTCTCAATCCACGCATATCTGCATATATCCATTTGTTCACCCTCGAAAGGCACAATGGTACCAATCACTTCGCTGGCTCAGTACACAACGGCGCCGACAATCAGGGGCGGCTACATCATAAACGCTGAGGGCATGGGCATGGGCATGGGCATGGGCATGGGAATGGGCATGGGAATGGGCGTCCTGCAACGTCAAACCAATACGCCCACGCCGCCAGCCTCGCTGGCAGGCGGCTCGCCGGCGCACCCTCCATCACAGCAGTCCATTCAGTCGCCGTTAAGTATGACGACGCTGAGCCATGTACCCGGGCCAGGTACCTCCACGCTGCGCCGCTCCAAGCCACCCATGCTCCAGCCACAACTCTCCTACGACGGCACTGCCCCGCGCACTCTGTCCACCGGGGTAGCCGTCGGATCGCAGTTCTACTACGGATGACAGAGCACGCTGGACTGCGAGCCGCATGTGTATACCACATCAGTGAGCGTCGCTGTCGCTCCTCCCATTGTCAGCGCCAAGACAACTACGGACACGCCGGGACATCGGTCGCTCGAACCCTTCGAACGTGCAACAACTGTGGATGCGCTGGCTGGACCCTAGCCACTCGTGGATGCGAGTATTTCTGTGCGAGGCATCAACGACAATACAAACAAAATCCTAGCCAGCTCCTCACGTTTGCAGCGGAACTCCGATCCGGACTGAGGAGTGCTCTCCTGTCCGGCGTTTCGGAATTACATAACTGGAGAGGACTGAGGCGAGCTGTTTTTAAATATGGACGAGCTTCCGGTAACTGTAAATACCTAATGAATGAATGAATGAATTTTGAGATTATAGCCAAAGATACATAAGTGAATATATACGTGTAGGTACATAGCCCGAGGTAGAAAAGGTCTTAAGCCACCTTGTAGGTTGTCTGTCTGCCATCGTGGCTGTCGTCCGACGTATCTGCAAAGTGATGAATGTACATATGGGTGTGTGCTGGTGTAGGGGAGTAGGGTGAACTTTGTCTGTGTTTCTGTCTTATGTTTGTGCTCCTGCAGGGAAATTAAACGACTGAAGGGTAATTTTTGATCGGTAGGTGGTCCCGCCCCTCTTTCTGTGAGGTGGTGTGCTGCCGAAATCCCCCCACCCTTTCACGCATTCACGCATCAAATTATTTGTACCAAATAAGTGAAAGTAAATTGCGCGGGGTTCATTTGGCGCTATCAATAATGTAGCGACAGGCAAAAGCATAAACATATTGCCTACAAATAGGCAGACACAGCCTCAGAGTACCCACCCGCACCGCCATCACATCCATCAAGCCAGCGGGGAGGCAGCGTACGTGTGGGAGGACCGAGAACTAATGGCTGCCGCTTAGGGGCGACGTCTAACCCAAATACTGCCGCACACTCGCACTCGTAAGCCATCGCACATCCGGACAGATAACGACGCAGCTCCCCGCAGAGTTGCGTAAACAAAACACGACTCCTCATAAATGTCGAGGCCTATGCCGGAGCCCTGCCGGAGTACGAGCCGAGTATGCATGTAAATTTTCGGGGGTACGTACGTTCAATTACCAGTAGTATGTGTGTGGGGGGGGAGGCTCTTGAAGCGCTGAGACATGTAAATGCTTTATTCAGCTAGTCGAGGGAGTCCGTACGTACATCTTGTGTGTGTCTGTGGCCCATTGTGAGTCTCAGATTAATGCGATACAAGTGTATGAGCGTAATTAATATCCGGCATTACTGACCGACCTTAGACGAGGCTGGGCCAGGCAAACGAGCTAATGGATTGCTCATACGTGCCAAGGTGACTGGGTCTTCCTCGCGGAAGGGTGCTGGGTCGGGGGGGTCACATGCGCGCCACCGGAAGTGGGGTGGCTTCAATGAATTGCGTGCCACACTGGTAGAGGGTAGAGACAGCATTATAGCCCATAGCCGTAGACTTTTATTTAGAGATAGACCTATAACGTAGGCAATTTGCTTAGCTGCGTTGTCTTGGACGCTGCTGGCATGCATCCTCAACGACGAACCAGTGCTGTTTCTGCGGGAGCTCAACTGCGAAAACTGTGGGGTATGGTTTACTCGTACATGGGTGTACACTGTACGTACATCATAGATGCAGCCACAAAGCATGCACCCACGAGTGTATTGTCCAGCATTTGCGAGTTTATCTACTCGCACTCGTGCGAATCTCATCGTGTTGTTCGGTTTGGGGGTTTTATTTCGAATGTCAAGTGCCTTCCTAACTAGCATTTAAGTGTGTGTACTCTCTATCTACGAGTACTTTAAATCGTAGGCCGAAGACGAAGGACGAACGACGAACGACGAAGGAGCCTGCACTTAGTGAAATGTAAATACATATGTAGCCCGCAGCCAAACTGAAATAACTAACCGGATGGATGGGGATGGTCACATTAAAATAGCTCAATTTAGCCAATATGTAAATACCACTATCACTAGAGTAGTAGGCATAGAAAGGGGAGATGCAACTACAAGCATTAAGTACTCTGGATCTGCATCTCCGTCAGACTCCACTAAGTATGTAGCACCTAGGGGATGTGGTTCTCAACAGGACAGCAATTAATCAAATCAAATCAAATCAAATCATATGTAAATAAATATTCCTGTTAGCTCAGACGTACATATGTACATAAGCTAAGCCACAATGAATAACTCGTATTCGTGTATGGAAATGTTCAAAGGGAAAATACAAAGTTGAATCATCAAAAATACATTCATTCATACATAAATAGATACATACATACATTCCTCTGTTGCTGTGGCGAGGCATTGACCACTGAATATGGGCACAGTACATGGGGATACTTTGCATAAATATCTATTTAAAGTTGATCAGAAAGTTGAATGAAGCAACTCAAATATGTTTAGTCTAAGAGTAAACTGTAGGTAAACTGTGAAAAGATTTTGGTTGCCATTCCTTCTTATGTACTGTACATTTTATACGTTTCTTTTTAACGAAATAAATAAATGAAATATTAACTTACCTAAGTGCACTCTTGTTCGGGGGAAAGGTTCCATCTCTATTTCAGGGCCTGCAACCTTATCAAGTAAATTTTCTGTTCAGAATTTCATCATTAAATATTAGCAATCAGAAATCTAATTTGGTAGGTTCTCTGAATTAATGGCTGTTGCAGCACTGCTGGCTCGGCGCTTGATTTGGCCATGAAATAATCGTAAACAATCACACATAATGTGTATTGGAATTTGTTTATTGTGTATTGGTGCTGGAATTCTCGGCCCAATTCATATCCTGGACTATGGAGACATCGATTTTAAGTAAGTATACATCACGAATAATAAGCATTTTGCTCTTGGAAATTTCGCTACACACTCCGAGAGTGCACAGAAAGGGGGCTATAGACAACACTAAATCTGCTGGAGCGCTTCAGAGAGAAGAGGCACTTCCCAAACTATTTGATTAAATTTGTTGGGAGCGAATATTTATGGGCATTGCATGAGCTTCGCCTGCTAATTGGTTTATAAATTAGAATTTCAACGGAACATTAAGCCAGCCATCTCAACCAAATAAACCCCCACAGCAGTTTCGAACAGCAGGGTAATCAATATTTATTGCGCCCCAACTAAGCAGCCAATGTGGGAGGACGGGACGACCCTGCGGTCCCTTCATTACCATGGAAAATCCAAACAATTAGATGTTAAAAAGGAGACTAGAATTTCCGTAAGCCATCTCAGTTCGATGGGCAAGAGAATGCTCGGAGATACGTAAGTCGAGCAAATCTAGACCAAGGTTTTATATTTTAAAGCCTGCTGGAAATGAACTACGTTTGAAATTAAAAGTTTCCATAGCGCACACAGGGAAAGAAGGCTATCTTAGGGGACCGAAGTTCTTTGGAGTCTAATTAGTGATACAGTGACTAGGTTTTCCATCAAATAGTGTGCATGCATGCGAGTATGTATACATATATGTATGTATACAGACCGGGCGCTGCCAAACATTAGATGAAATTCAATTAGAGATAATGTTACAACTATTATTAATTAATTTGCGACGACTAGAACAAAGTCTTCTCCCTTTCTTCTCTCTAGCTCACGTTTTCCGCCAGCAAAGTTTCCACCACCCCCGAGACTGCGCCGCTCCCCTTTCGCAAACTCTCTCAGCCCCCGAGCACATGTGGATGTAATTACTCTCGAGTGGCAAGTGCTCTGATTGCACCTTGTGAATGAGAGTTCCATTGGGGAGCTTCAGCACGCAATCTTGGGGAAGACTGTTGCGTGTGTTGATGGCGACAGAAGTCCTTCAAATGGGCCAGGCTCATGTTCAAGGCCGTGGACTGACCACACGCAACTTTCCCCCCAGCACGAAAACATTTTCAGCTACTTCTGATGGGTCTTTATCGTTGTTCAGGAACTGTCACTAGCCCACAAAGCCAAAGCTTGAAGCACGCTGTGTTAATGTAATTAACTTGGCTTTTGGCACAGCCATATCGCGACTAGTTTCCATCTTCTTTAGACCAGGTCGTGATCATCTGCTCATGGCAACTGATGGCTGATGGCCTTTGGCTTTTGGTGTGACAACCTGCCGTCGACGTCTCACAAGCATATTTTGGCACTCAGCTGAGGCGACCAAAAACGCCTTGCACCTTGGAGGAATTTCATTACATCAGGAAGGTCGATGCCGAGGCGTGTAGTTTTTTCTACGTCCTTATCTTGGGCACCCTGGCTGCTTTCCTTAGCAATGGCCCTAGCTTAGTCGTCGCTCGCTTTAATATATTCTTAAATGAAAATCGATAATTCAGAAGACACTTTTCACATAGATCCCACTGTTCATACTCCTACGCGTGTGTCTCGTGTTTTCCTCGTCATTCTTTGCCTTCTTACAAAATTTATGATAATTTCCGTTCCTTTGTTAAACTTTCGGGTAATGCAGCAGCAAACTCTTGGCTTGCCATGCACGGAAGTGGCGGCAAAATTGTTCTCATTCCTTTTAGGACATGGCCGAGTTGGTAAATTGATTATTTTCACTGTGACCTGACCTTCTCTAGCTTGAGGCGATAAAGATTGTAGATGTACCAGTGCCAGATGTGCCCTTTGAATGCTCCTGCATCCAGCTCATGCACTGCCATTGTCAAAACTGTTCCGCCTTTCCACTCTACGCACAAGTTTTTACTAGCACTTTCATACATTTCTGTTGCGTCCGAGCTCTGACTAAGCTACATATTTCACAAGGGCTGATATGCAATGACTCCCGGAGCCTGTTACGCGCGGAGCCCAGGCAACAACGCAGCCCTCCTCCCGCCCAACCGACCGAGAGGCGCTGCCGCATGACGCGCGACGTGTGATACCGAACCGATTATATGGTAGAGGGCATTAAAATCCGAGCATAAAAGGAAGGAATAATTCAATCTACTAAAGTTTCTAGTGGATCTAATAGGAATCGTAAAGCTTGTGCTGCTCAACAAGTCAGGGCTATGTACGTCACCCTTGATCAGGTTGTGCACAAAAATCCCACCAAGAATTTTTGTACGACTGACAAAGGTTGGAAGGTTTATTAATATCAATCTACGAGGGTAAGATAGCAGTCTCACACCTGCATCCCAGTTAAGACCCCGCAGAGCAAAAAGTAAAAAGTTTTTCTGGACTGATTCTATACGGTCCTGGTGTGATTTGTACTGGGACCACCCTACACAAGATCCGTACTCTCCGAGTCTTCTTTACATAGGAGCCATCAAATTCCTCTGACCACCTCTTTACAAACCCAAGCACGCCCAAGGCCTTATTTACCATGGTAGAAATGTGTTCAGAAAACTTTAAGTTGGGGTTTATTTCAGGCACTGTAATTCTCTCAGGAGAACCACCGCAGAGCCTGTAAGGGGCTGGAGCGATGAAATGTCATTACTTTGCATTTCGAGGCATTAAGGTGCAACACATTTGCACAAAACCATGACTGAAAGTTATTGACATCGGATTGTAAGCGAGATTCGAATGAAATGTCCTCATACTGTGCACAGAGTTTAACATGAGTACTCGAGAGTTTGTTGATACTGAAGGGAGGTCATTAATACAGAGTGTGAAAAGAAGTGGGCCTAGATGGCTGCTCTGCAGTACTCCAGAAGTAACCTTAACAGGCGAAGAGAAGGTTTTTTGAAGAGGACTCTTTGAGGCCTAGAACAAAGGTAGCTAGAAATCCATCTTAAAAGATTGGGCGGTCAAGTTTTTTGCTAGAAGGGAATGGCTGACAGAGTCGAATGCTTTCTTTACATCCATGGAGGCTCTCCTACAGTGCGATCGTTTGTACGGAGGCAACATGAACTTATTCTTCCTCTTTAAATATGACCAAGTGACTTAAAAACTGATGGACAATGGATAATGACTGACGATTGTATGCCAGTACAATAAATGCACAGTTTTGGGCATGCAAATTGAAATCGCAATGGTTTTATAGCCATCTTACAATTAGAGCAATTCTTGGGGGACTTGATATTAATTAGGACACAGAGTAATCCTCATAAGCCAGTGGCCAGGCGAGGGCGAGGACGAGCAGGGCATTGTGTATACGCAGGGTTTTATGCAAATAGGTAAAATACGCCACTGAGACTGTGTAGTGGGGCAGTGGCAGTGGCAGTGGGCTGTAAATTTGCACTTTATTCTCATCATTTTTTTCACTCTCGCCAGTATTCTACGTGGCCAAATCTTGGCGAAAAAACAAGAAAAATGGCGGCAGCTCAGCTGCAGAAGTTGGTCCAGTCCGTCTGGCTTGCGACAGATCTACTTCAGACCCAGAGAACTCTTGTGTTGTCCCTTGGACCTGCTGAATAAAATATGAGCTGAAGCCAAAGTTCTGAGCGCTCTTTTCGTGCTGGCCATCGCTGGCCAGGGCCAACCTTTACCTCTCTACTGCATCAGACTTGGCTGCTTGTTCTTGGTCCCGAGTGGAGGTCCTAAATTTGACTGTTTAGGTTTCTGTGTGCACCTCCCACTTCCCCTCCCCACCCCCTCCCCTGCCACAAATTGAATGCTGTTCAAATAATTTATCTAATTTTTTCTCGCCGCCCTCCCTCCGGCGAGAAGTTAACGTGTGGGTCGGACGATTGTTGGCTTCCTCCTAGGGTCCCACATTCCCACTACCTGCTGACAGAACGATGTGCTTTTTGCTTCTCTTTCACTTTTAATACCCAAAGAAATGCAGCGCTCCCAACTCGAGAACAAAGCGAATTGTACGAATTCTCTTTAGCACCTTGCGAGCGAGTTTCGAGCAAATGCGACCAATTAAAGTTGTCCCTTCAGAAGGCAGCCAAAGGAAACTCTGCTCCTCGGCCCAGGTTCAAAGGTTGCTGCTACCACTCTGCTGCTCGGTGGATATGGATTTTGATGAGGGTCGGGTCCCAATATGTACAATGTACGTCTCTTCAGATGATTAGGGAAATAATGCGGACAGCGACTCTATAAGGAAGGTCGGATAATTAAAATATATTTGATTTAAACGATCTTTTTGCTTGAAGCAAAGCTCTGAAGTACACCCTGAAGTGTGCACCCAATTGGCTCAATTTAACTCTCTCCACCCAAAGCATCCATCCTTCCACCAGCTCATAGACGACTTAAGAAATAGGTTCTTACTGGTACAGTTAAAGTTAAACAGGCAGCCCTATTGTATTTCAGTGTTAATTCCATTCCAATTCGGAATGTTATCATGCGAGTATATTTGATGATTTGGTAATCACGAGAACTCTCTTACGCACATTTTACAAAGAATCTCATTATCACTCTCAGTATTTCTAAGCAGAGAGAATCCCAAAGAAACTACATACATACACATATGTAGGATAAAGAACAAGAATGGTAGCGCCAAAGAATATACAAAGGCAATGGGGTATGCATGTTGTTTTTGCGTCTCTGAGGCATTATTACTTTGACATTGTTGTCCCTGTTTGTGCAAGAGTCACAAAAGCCAGAGAGTGAGAGTGTAGAGAGAGAGAGAGAGAGAGAGAGACC